TGATTAAATAAAAATCATCAGGGATAACTCAACATGCGAAATTCAAAGACGAATTAGTATACAATAGACATGTAGAGAGAACGCTCGACTCACGATGGATGATCAAAATTATAATTTGGAGGCCAAGAGCAGATAAACTTAGTAGAGGAAGACAAATAGAGGAAAAAATGGCAACAAAAAACACAAAATTATTTAAATTTTTTTCTTTCCTTCTTCTTTTTGTATAGACTTAACTCTGTCTGTTTTTAAATGTGCATCCAATAAGTTGTCCTTTCATCGTTTTTTTGACCCTTCCACTGTTTTCCTATTGGGAACAGTCTCTCGCCGTCTGTGCTTCTGGTTCTGTCCCATAGTGTCTTACCATCGTCGAGAGGACACAATTCTTTTTGTTCTCATTGTGTCAAATGGTGTTTGTTTTAGTTCTCTACTTCAAATAACTTAGTTATAATTACATTCTTCTTCTTCTGGTTCCTATCCGTTTCGGATGTTGGAAATCATATTGGCAATCATAACCTTGCTCGCTGCGGCTCGAAACAGCTCCGTTGAGGTTTTCTTAAACCATGTTACTAAATTCCTCAGCCATGATATTCTCCTTCTACCGGGTCCTCGCTTACCTTTGACTTTACCTTGCAATATAGACTGTAGCAGGGAGTAACGGTACTTATTTCTCATAACGGGTCCCAGATATTGCAATTTTATGCGTTTGATCGTAAACACAATCTCTGGTTCCTTCTTCATTTTTCCTAGAACTTCCTTGTTCGTGATCCTTGCTGTCCATGATATTCTCAGCACTCTTCTATAAAGCCACATCTCAAATGCTTCAAGTTTTTAAATAGTGGTGTCTGTAAGCGACCATGCATCCGACCCGTAAAACAACACAGAGAAAACATCTCAAATGTCTCATTTTTGTATCAAGGGATATGTTGTGACTTTTGAAGATGGCGCTCATTTTGTTAAAGACCGTTCTTGCCTTTCCTATGCGGCACTTTATTTCCTGTACACAGTGGCGGCTGGTGTGGTAAAATTTTGGGTAGGCCAAGCCAGCAAATTACATATAGCTATGTCTAATCACTGGCGGACCAGAGGAAGGGTCACGGGGTCATGACCCACCCCTTAAAAATATTTGAAAATCCACTTATCCTATTGGTGGTAAGACTAAAAATAACTTTGCATCAGAGAAAAGTAATCACCCTCAAGATCCATGATTTTCTTTTACATACATGCAAATATAAATTTATTTTTATTTATAAAAATACTTAAAATTATAAGGTAACTGTAACAGACTTACATTTAATTATGTTATTTGTAAACTATTTGTTTATAAATAAAATTATGAACTAAAATATACACGTAGATTACAAAAACATTTTATTATTTATAGAGCAGGTTTATTCTTCTCTCTTTGCTTTGTGCAAATTTGTCAATTACTCGTTCATAAAATGTGTCGCCCGTTTCCATTAATCGAGCAAGAACATCTTTCTGGATTGATACAGTAGCCAGTGATGAAAGCCGATTTTGCGTCATTGTATTTCGAAGAGATGACTTTATTCGCTTTAAAGTGGAGAACGTTCTTTCAACTGAAGCGCTTGTTGCAGGTATTGTAGCAAGTAAACAAAATAACTTATAGCTTTCAGGAAGAATTTCATTGGTTTCGTTATCAAACATACTTTTAATTAGTTCTAACAAACTCTTATCGTGAAAATTTTCACGATGAATAGCAGAAAAAATCATTTCCAGTTCTGTTTTTAATAAAGATTTATTAAAAAGTGGTTCATATGTATCCATCAATGAGTCCAAAGCTTTTTGTGGAAATTTAGCGCCATATTCTGTGAATCTTTTATTATCGCCCAATTCCAGAAATTGAAACTTTGCGTAATCCGAGAAACGTTGCTCTAATTGAGTGATAATATTGTCCAAAATCTCAAAAAAGACCCTTCTAAATTTAGTTTTAGCTTTCTCCAAAAAACTTTGATCTCCGTTATTAGATACACTACCAGGTAAAATATCAAGTTCACTATGACTTAAGATGGGTTCAGAATGTGTTTCGCTAACAGAAATGTTAAAATGGTTAGAAAATGTAAGGTCATTTCTCCAGCTCTTTAACATTGCAACACATCTGGACACTGAATTGGCACACAATTGGACATCATTATTTTTCTTCTGCAATATGTTGTATAAGAGCTCAGTTTGTTGAAATATATCACTAAAAACATTTAATAAAAATACAAATTCCAAGTCCTCCAATTTACGTTTAAAACCATCTGCCTGCCTAATTGATTTTGCATTTGATTCTGGGCAATTCATTATGTCCTGAAAGACTTGTAACAATTTCTTTCTTTCTTGTGACACAGCATAAACTACTTTTGCATTTGAATTCCATCTTACTTCACTATTTGTGGGAATTCGTTTTCCAAGTATTTTATTTAAAAAATAGGATCGTTTGGACGATTGGTGAAAATAAGCTGGTATACCTTGAAGCGTTGAGAAAAATATTTTGACTGTTGTAATGTTGGAGCAACTTTGCTGTAAAACTAAGTTGAGGCGGTGAGCGAAACAATGGGTAAATATTGCCAATGGTGCAGAATCTCTCACTAATTTTTGAAGTCCATTAAGTTGTCCCGACATAACACTAGCTCCATCGTAGGTTTGAGCAATTAATTTAGCTTTACAGTCAAATTTACCGATTACACTAAACAGTAAGTCACGTAACGCTGGAGCACTTCGGTCTTCCCCGAGATCAAAAAAACCTAAGAAATATTCTTGAACAACGCCTTTTGTGTCCACTAGTCTGCATACTATTGAACATTGTGCCCTTTCAGTAATATCGGTTGTTTCATCAACAATGCATGCAAAAAATGTGGAGTTGTTTATGGCATTCTCGATAAAAATATGAATTTCGTCTTTCACTAGATCGATTAGTTCGTTTTGTATCGTTTTTGAGATACCTCTGAAATATATTTTTTTCTGCCAGTGATCATTTAGTTCTGGAGTTGATTTTAATATTAATTCCCAAATCGCTTTAAAATTTCCAGGATTTAGGGAATCATCGGATTCGTCGTGGCCACGGAAAGCCAGTTCCTGTTTCGCTAAAGTACAAGTTAAAGAAACTAATTTTTTAATGATTTCTCTGTTCATTTTAACTTCTGCATTGTATCTAATTTTTGCGATTTTTGATTTTTCATCTAGCAAATCGCGAACAGAAAACGCCCTCTTCTGCACATCCTTAAAGGACAGGAAATTACTTAAATGTTCCTTGCAACTGGAATGTTTTTTTAAGGAGGCAGACATATTTTTTAAATCAAAGTATCCTTCACAATTCCATACACATTTCTTATTAGAAAATAACAAACACGGCCAACAATATAGTCTATTTTTTGTAATACTTCCAGACAACCATTTATAGACATCATACCAAGAACAATTAAAAGTACGCACCTTTTTCCCATCTTTTTGGTCAATACGCAATGTTGGAGTAGGCCTTTCATTCATAATAATTTTTTTCTATCAACTTCAGTTCTTCTAGATAATGGCAATTCCAATAGTGAAACAACAATGTCCAAACACTCACTATCAACATTACTATTACTGCAACCTGGTAAAGCGTCAGAAAAACTCATTTTTATGTATCAGTTATAAAACGATCTCACTATTCCAAGAAAAATTTTTAAAAATCAACCTTGATCGACCAAACAACTAGTGCAACTAGTAATAACAGATAACAGTGAAAATTGAACTAATGCCAGTGTTGCCATATATAAGTTGCATACAATCAGAAGATATAGAAATCATGCAAATGTGATTTTTTTTTTTCGAATTTTACGAATTTTTTAAAATTTATTTATGCAACCGTGAACTTGTTTGCAATTGTGTTGTTTGTTTAAAAATATGTTACAATTATAGATTATGTTACATATTTTTTTATCATAATTTAAAAGAAAATTTATATTACAATTCGATAATTACGTTACAAGTGACAACGATGGTCGACGCTAGGCCCGATCGTCTGGTGCCTACACAGCGAGCATAAACACGCCAATATAAATCGTTGTCCGGCAAACTGCTTAACTTCAAACGCTTTTTGTACGGGGATCTTATGTGCGCTGGGTCGGCCAGTTACTATCGGGCCTATTAATGATATTTAAAATGCCTGAATACGATTTGATGCTTTCTGTGGTAATATAATAACATAGTTGTTTTAGCGGACGCTAATGTATTGAGTGATTTAGTACATTTAAAAGTTATTTACATGCATTAACATAATTTTTGAATATATATTTTCAATTTTAAAGCTCTTAAAATTATTGGGTAGGCCCGGCCTATCCTGCCTACCCCCAAAAGCCGCCACTGCCTGTACATTGCTCCACTGTTCCGTTTATAATAGTTCCCAGGTAGCAATACTGTTTTACTCGCTCTATCTGCGTCCCATTAATGTATAGGTTGAGCCCCGTTTATATTGTCCTTGCTGATAATCATTTGTTTTGTTTTGTGGGTTTTAATGTTTTGTCCGTACTGTTGACTGTACTAGTTTATTCTGCCCCATTAGCCTCTGAAGTCCCTCTAAACTATCTGCTATCACCATGGTGTCGTCGGCATAAGTTCACTAATTTAAATTTTTGTTTTGAAAACGAATTCCAGGGTATAAATCGAAACGTTAATAACAGTTATAAAATTTAGTTTCCATTATCTACAATCAATTGTGACTTAATACCATATAAACATAAAATTTAGCAAAATGCAAATTAGCGTTGAGTAGAAGAAGTGTGGCCCGATCACGAAAAACACAAAGATACAATATAATATAAAGGCACAATCGAAGGAAACAGAAATAAATACTTAAGAAGATAAAAGAAAACGAACTAAATAGTAAACAATCGGCAATATTGCTGATTTTGTTATACTATATCCAGAATTATTTTCATTATATAATAAATAGTGTTTGTAAGCCAAAATTGTTCATTGAATTTATTATAAACATGCATATAAATTAATTCTATTTTTAGGTAAGCGCCTTGGACTTCTAGCTATTGCTGCATGTTTATCACATGTCTTATTAAAATTTAATATTGAAAAATGCGAAGATACTCCTGATGCAATTGAATTTGAACCCAAATCCTTGGCTCTGCAGTCAAAAGATGGACTAAAAATAAAACTAGTATCTATATAGCAACGTATTACCCATAATAATTATACAGTGTGTAAAAGCCAAATGGAATAAATTCATTATTTAGGTCACTGTACATATTAATAAAAAATACCGAAACACGTCAAATTTAAAGTATAACTTGACATTCTTTAACGTGAAAATGCTACCCCTACCTTCAACTCCCTTAGAATGACAGGTACAACCCCCAATTTTTAAAATAGGAAGTATAGGCTTGTGATATATCGTTTGAAAGGTCTTTTCATTATCCATTCAAAAATGTTGTCGCTTTCAAGTTTATTAAGATACAATACAATCAAAAACTAAAATGTAATGCAAAACCTAATAAAATGTAGAACACGAAAAAGAACTATGATCTTTAATGAAGTATATGTTCAATATATTCACCGCGAACGTCTTGGCAACATCCTAATCTCAAATAAAACTGTCTTCTAACATTGTTTAACATAAGCGTTATTCGTTCTTTTAAGTCATTTAAATCAGAAGGTTTAGTTTTGTACACATGGCTCTTCACATATCCCCACAAAAAGAAATCTAATAATGTAAGATCAGGTTATCGCGCTGGCCATTCAATCGATCCTCGCCTCCCTATCCACCGATTGGGCAATATTGTATCGAGGTACTGCCGGACAATAAGTTGGTAATGTGGTGGTGCTCCATCCTGCTAAAACCATATCGTATTCGCTGAAACTTGAGGGTTTCCTAGATCAGGATATAAATTTGCCAACGTTGGAATGACATCATTTTGAAGTAGTGCCAAATAATTGTTGCCATTAAATTTGCCCTCAATGAAAAAGAGACCAATAATATTGTTTCCTACAATCCCTGCCTAAACATTAACCTTTTGAGGGTATTGAGTGTGTTCTTCTCTCATCCAGTGAGGATTTTCCGTGGCCCAGTAGCGGCAATTTTGCCGATTAGCATAACCGTTAAGTGAAAAAGTACACTCATCAGAAAACATAACGTCTTCTAATTGGATGATATTGTTATCCAACATGTCCATCATTTGCTCACAAAAAAAAGTTCTCCTATCAAAATCGTCTTCCATGAGCTCGTGAGTAGGTATTATCTTATAGGGATACAATTTATTTTCTTTTAATATGTTTACTATCGATGTATGGCTACCATTGAATGTAGTGAATGCCTGTCTTCTCGATGTATGTGGATTTTCCTGAAACTCAAGCAACACATCTAATTTGAGTTTATAACAGTGCATTGGCAGCTGCTTTTTTTATCGGCCTTACATGACCAAACTCGCGAAACTGCTTCTCTATTTTACTTATTGTTCCTTGGGATATAGGCGGTAAATTAGGAAATTTTTCATGAAATAGGCGAGTTACTTCCTGTTGTGTTCGGGTGTTATCTCCGTAACCAATCATTTGTAAAACTGTTATTTTATGCATTTCCGTTAATCTAATTATTTTTCAGAATTAAATTGAACGAACTTTTTTACTTAAATTAAAATACTGACAATTTAAATAAAACAATGTACCAATGCTTGTTAAAATAACGTCGCCACGGAAATTCTTTAAAGTTTTTTAATGGTTACCATCTAAAAACCACATTGCTCAGGTTTTTGTTCACTTTCTCATTATCAAGACCTAAACAGAAAATAAGTTTTTAGTATATTTTAGCGAATTTTGGTAACCACATGATTTTAATTTATTTTATCTTAATTAATTTTAATAAACTTGAAAGCGACAACATTTTTGAATGGAGAATGAAAAGAACTTTCAAACGATATATCACAAGCCTATACTTCCTATTTTAAAAATTGGAGGTTGTACCTGTCATTCTAAAGGGGTTAAAGGTAGGGGTTGCATTTTCACGTTAAAGAATGTCAAGTTATAATTTAAATTTGACGTGTTTCGGGATTTTTTATAAATATGTACAGTAACCTAAATAATGATTTCATTCCATTTGGCTTTAACACACTGTATGTTATTCTAACATACTCTATCATTATTTATATGTATTATATTTCATTTAAATATGTAAATAAACAGTTTTTTGTAAATAAACAAATTAACATTCATTGCAAATTTTATTTTTTTGTTGTCTTATTGAATTGATCAATAGATGTTATGTTTCTCTTCTTCTTATGGCGCCGTTTTCTTTCGAAGGTTGGTGATCCAAATGGCAATTGTAGTTTTGGAAACTGGCGCACTAAAGATTTCTGCGGATGAGCGGTCGAACCATCTCGTCAGGTCTTTCAGCCACGAGTTCTGGCATCTTCCTACTGATCTTTTGCCCTGTACTTTTCGTTCCAGTATAACTTGAAGCAATTCATATCTTTCACCTCTCAACAAGACCCAAGTATTGCATTTTCCTCTCTTTGATTATTTTAAGTAATTCTTTTTGTTTACACATGCGACGAAGCACCTCAACATTAGTAACTCTTTGTACCCATGGACAAAGGGTACGTGGTTTTGGTTAGGTTCCTCAGTAAGTGCAAAATGTATCAATTATATATTTTTTAGTTTAATACAAAAAACGGGGATGGGATATATTAAATACCCAAAGTACCGAAATACCAAGAGGGATAATATTATCCCAGTAATATTTATTACTGACATGACTATTCAATCTTCTTCTTCACTTGTATCATAGTTATTTGAGGTTAGCGATTACATGCAAAGGCTTCTCGAACTTCTTCTTCTTCTTAAGGTGCCGTGCATTTCTGCGTAGGCGTTCACAGTACAACGTCTTGTCAGGTGAGTTGTTAAATATTCAGGATTTAATAATTCAATTTTTAGCAGCATTGCGAAGCATTTCATAGCTGTGGATTCCTGTCCATTGTCGAATATTGCGCAGCAATGACATTTTTTTACGTCCCAGACTTCTCCTACCCTCTATCTTCCCTTCGAGTATCAGTTGCTGAAAACTGGAATACTCGAACTTCTACCACGTGAAATAATTATCCTGCATTTGATATTTCAGTCCATTCACGACTGTTTTTTAACCAAGAAACCTGTTTTCTTCCTACACCTCTACGGCCTCCTATTTTGTCTTTAACGATCAGTTGTAGTATTCTATATCGATTTCCCTTCACGATAAGTCCATATAGGACATTTGCCGTTATTAAACAATATTTAGCACTGTTCTCTATATTTGTTAACCCTACTTAGTACATCCTCATTAGCTTTTCTTGCTGTTAAAGGTATCTTGTCCTGGAAGCGTTTAGAACAACACTGGTAGAAAGTTTGTACAGTGAAACGGGAGAACCATCTTTACTAGACCGTTGCATTTAATTTGACATTAACGCATGAAATTGATATATCTACTAATCGAACAGAATCTGTTTTTGATAATATATTGAATAATAAATATACATATCTAATACACACAAACCTTTCTATGAGTGAATTTTATTTTATCTTCTTCTTTGGGTGCCGTCTTCTTAGCGAAGGTTAGCGATGACCTCTGCAAAGTCTTTCCTATTTTGAGCTTTCCTTATTAAACTTTGAAAGTCTAATCCTGTTCAATTTTTGATGTTGCGTAGCCAGGCCATTTGTCGTCTACCCGGGCCGCGTTCGCCTTCTATTTTCCCTTCTATAATAAGCTAAAGGAAGTTATACCTGTCGTGTCTAAATATGTGTCCAAGATAAGACGTTTTACGCTTCTTGACAATTTCTGTGAGTTCACGTTCTCTATTCATACGCCTTAAAACTTCTTAATTTCTAACGCGGTCGGTCCATAGAATTTTCAGCATACGACGAAATACCCACATCTCAAAGCTCTCTAAACGTCGTAACGAGCTGACTGTTAACGTCCAAGCTTCCACGCCATGTAACAATACACTATGTACATAACACTTTATTATGCAGTATCGTAGGGACAAATCAAGATTACGGGTAGTGAGTAACTGTCGCATCTTTAAGAAGGTGTTTCTTGCCTGTTCTGTTCTACATTTAACCTCTTGTTCTTGGTCTAAGGTTTCGTGTATCCAACAGCCTAGATACTTAAACTTTTTCACTTGTTCAACTAGATTGTTGTTGACTAGTATGTTTATAACTGGTGTTTGTTTTTTTTTGATATTACCATTGTTTTGGTTTTTTTACATTCACCTTAAGGTCGTATAGTTCCCCTTCTCGCACTACTTTGGTTAACAGAATTTGTAGTTCTTCTTCACTGCCAGCAATCAGTACTGTATCATCGGCATACCTGATTCGAACATTCAACCTTATATTGATACTGATATTGTTCACGATTTTTTCATGGACTTTTATTCCTTCTTGTGCTTCATCTAGAGCATCTGCAAAGATGTCCTCTGAGTATAAGTTGAATAATAATGGTGATAGTATACAATCTTGTCTAACTACTCTTTAGATGTTTATGGTTTCAGTATCACCCATTTAAGTTCTGAGAGAGGCGTTTTGGTTCCAGTAGGGGTCACGTATTGTATTAATGTCGTTTGGATCCAGGTTCTTTTTTTGCAAGCCTTCTATTAGCTGATCGTGTTTGACTTTGTCAAAAGTGATCGTGTTTGTCTTTTCATAATCTATAAAGCACAAGTAGACATCTTTTTGTTGATCTCGGCACTTTTGCGCGAGAACAATGAAACTGAATAAAGCTTCTCGAGTTCCTATACCGTTTCGAAAGCCAGATTGTTCCGGACCCATATCTTCTTCGCATTTTTTGTAAATTCTGTTATGGATAATTTTTAGAAATAGCTTCAGAATATTGGGCATGAGACTTAATTAATCGAAAGTCGTTACATTTTTTATTGTATAGTTTGATTTAGGTATAGGCACAAACGTAGACGTTAACTAATCTTGTAGAATTGTACAAGTCTTGTATATACTGTTAAAGAGACTTGATAATAGTTCTAAATTGTCTTCTTCCAAAAGTTGTATAATTTCACTATGAACGTAGTCAGGTCCAGAGGCTTTTCCGGTTTTCCTATTTTTTAAGGCGTCTTTTATTTCAGTTATTAAGATGGGCAAGTCGTTATTTTCGATGTTTGTTTGTCTATCAATATTTATTGTTCTATCGTTTGCGAA